AGTAACTTGAGCTGATACTAATACTCGCAGTTAGGAAACTGTTGCGTCATGCGATTTGTGCCAAAGGCGTGTAACATTTCATCGACAAAAGCTCTCGACAAGATATGCTTGTTTGCTGTATCTGACGTTACTTGAGCTGATATTAATACGCGCAGATAGGAAACTTCTTGCGTCATGCGATTAGTGCCAAAGTCGTGTTACATTTCATTAATTATGTTTTACAAGCTCTCGCCACTGATATGCATGTGCGCAACATCTGCCGTTAACTTGAGCTGATACTAATACTCGCAGTTAGGAAACTGTTGCGTCATGCGATAGGTGCCAAAGGCGTGTAAGATTTCATTAGTTTTGTTTTAAAAGCTCTCGAAAAGGTATGGCATATGTGCTTCATCTGCCTCTACTTGAGCTGATAAAATTACTTGCTTATAGGAAACTTCTTGCGTCATGCGATTAGTGCTAAAGGCGTGTAACATTTCATTAGTTTTGTTTTATAAGCTCTCGCCACGGATATGCATATGTGCATTATCTGCCTCTACTTGAGCTGATAAAATTCCTCGCAGATAAGGAACTTCTTGCGTCATGCAATTAGAGCCAAGGGCGTGTAACATTTCATTAGTTTTGTTTTATAAGATGTCGCCACGGATATGCATATGTGCATTATCTGCCTCTACTTGAGCTGATAAAATTACTCGCAGATAGGAAACTTCTTGCGTCATGCGATTAGTGCCAAAGGCGTGTTACGTTTCATTAATTTTCTTTTACAAGCTCTCGCCACTGATATGCATTTGTGCAATGTCTGCCATTAACTTGAGCTGATACTAATAATCGCAGATGGGAAACTGTTGCGTCTTGCGATTAGTGCCAAGGGCGTGTAAGATTCCATTGGTTTTGGTTTAAAAGCTCTCGACAAGTTATGCATGTTTGCAGTATCTGCCGTTACTTGAGCTGATATTAATACGCGCAGATAGGAAACGTCTTGCGTCATGCGATTAGTGCCAAAGGCGTGTTACATTTCATTAATTTTGTTTTAAAAGCTCTCGACAAGATGTGCATGTTTGCAGTATCTGCCGTTACTTGAGCTGATTCTAATACTCGCAGATAGGAAACTATTGCGTCATGCGATTAGTGCCAAAGGCGTGTAAGATTTCATTAGTTTTGTTTTACAAGCTCTCGCCACGGATATGCATTTGTGCAATATCTGCCATTAACTTGAGCTGATACTAATACTCGCAGTTATGAAACTGTTGCGTCATGCGATTAGTGCCAAAGGCGTGTAACATGTCATTAGTTTTGTTTTAAAAGCTCTCGCCACGGATATGCATTTGTGCAATATCTGCCATTAACTTGAGCTGATACTAATACTCGCAGTTATGAAACTGTTGCGTCATGCGATTAGTGCCAAAGGCGTGTAACATTTCATTAGTTTTGGTTTATAAGCTCTCGCCACGGATATGCATTTGTGCAATATCTGCCATTTACTTGAGCTGATACTAATACTCGCAGTTATGAAACTGTTGCGTCATGCGATTAGTGCCAAAGGCGTATAACATTTCATTAGTTTTGTTTCACAAGCTCTCGCCACGGATTTGCATTTGTGCAACATCTGCCCCTTACTTGAGCTGATTTTGATACACGCAGATAGGATCATTGTCGCGTCATGTGATTAGTGCTACGGCTTGTTTTTTTTTATTAATATGTTTTATAAGCCCTCGCCATAGATATGCTTGTGATTAATTATCTAACCTTCTTTGAGCTCATACCATTTTTTATAGATAGGAGTTTTTTGCGTCATGTGATAAGTGGCAAAGGCGTGTTACTTTTCTTTAGTTTGTCGTAAAAGCTCTCTCCTCGGATATGCATGTGTGGAATATCTGCCGTTACTTGAGCTGATGTGAATACTCGCAGGTAGGAAACTCGCTGCGTCATGCAATGAGTGTCATAGGCGTATTACATTTCTTTTTTTTGTTTTTTAAGTTCTCGCCATGGATATATTTGTGTGATGAAATATCTGCCCTTACTTGAGCTGATATTATTTTCCGCAGCTAGGAATTTTGTTGTGTCGTGCAATCAGTGCCAGCGGCGTGTTACTTTCCATTAGTTTATGTTATAAGCTTTCGTCACGCATTTGCATTCAGTGCAATATTTGCCTCTACTTGAGCTGATTTGAATACTCTCAGATAGCAAACTTGATGCGGCATGCGATAAGTACCAAAGGCGTGTTACATTTCATTAGTCTGTCTTATAAGCTCTCGCAACCTATATGCATGTGTGCATTATCTGCCGTTACTTGAGCTGATATCAATATGCGCATATAGGAAACTCGCTGCGTCATGCAAAGAGTGTTAAAGGAATGTTACGTTTCTTTGATTTGTTTTATAAGTTTTCCTCATGGATATATATTTGTGCGATGAATTATCTGCCCTTACTTGAGCTGATATTGTTTTTCGCAGAAAGGAATTGTGTTGCGTGGTGCAATCAGTGGCAATGGCGTGTTACTTTTTAGTACTTTGTTTTACAAGCTTTCGTCACGGATGTACAATTAGTGAAATATTTGCCCCTACTTGAGCTGATTTGATTACTCTCACATAGGAAACTTGTTGCGTCATGCGATAAGTGCCAAAGGCGTGTTATATTTCATTAGTTTTGTTTTATAAGCTGTCGCCACCGATTTGCATTTGTGCAACATATGCCCCTTACTTGAGCTGATACTCGCAGATAGGATCATTGTCGCGTCATGCGATTAGTGCCTACGGCTTGTTTTATTTCATTGATATGTTTTATAAGCCCTCACCCTAGATATGCTTGTGAATAATTATCTAACTTTCTTTGAGCTCATACCATTTTTTATAGATAGGAGTTTTTGCGTCATGTGATAAGTGCCAAAGGTGTGTTACTTTTCATTAGTTTGTCGTAAAAGCTCTCGCCTTGGATATGCATGTGTGGAATATCTGCCGTTACTTGAGCTGATGTGAATACTCGCAGATAGGAAACTCGCTGCGTCATGCAATGAGTGTTATAGGCGTATTACATTTCTTAGTTTTGTTTTATAGGTTCTCGCCATGGATATATTTGTGTGATGAATTATCTGCCCTTGCTTGAGCTGATATTGTTTTCCGCATCTAGGAATTTTGTTGTGTCGTGCAATCAGTGCCAACGGCGTGTTACTTTTCATTAGTATATGTTTTAAGCTTTTGTCACGCATTTGCATTCAGTGCAATATTTGCCTCTACTTGAGCTGATTTGAATACTCTCAGATAGCAAACTTGTTGCGGCATGCGATAAGTACCAAAGGCGTGTTACATTTCATTAGTTTGTCTTATTAGCTCTAGCAACCGATATGCATGTGTGCATTATCTGCCGTTACTTGTGCTGATATCAATACTTGCATATAAGAAACTCGCTGCGTCATGCAATGAGTGTTGAAGGCGTGTGACATTTTATGAGTTGTTTTATAAGCTCTTGCCATGGATATATTTGTTTGATGAATTATCTGTCCTTACTTGAGATGATATTGTTTTTCGCAGATAGGATTTTTGTTGCGTCGTGCAATCAGTGCCAACGGCGTGTTACTTTTCATTAGTTTGTGTTATAAGCTTTCGTCACGGATTTGCATTCAGTGCGATATTTGCCTCTATTTGAGCTGATTTGAATACTCTCAGATAGGAAACTTGTTGCTTCATGCGATAAGTGCCAAAACCGTGTTACATTTCTTTAATTTTTTTACAAGCTCTCGTCACAGATATGCATGTGTGCAATATCTGCTATTACTTGTGCTGATATCAATACTCGCAGATAGGAAATTCGCTGCGTCATGCAATGAGTGTCAAAGGCGTGTGACGTTTCTTTGATTTGTTTTATAGCTTTCCCCATGGATATATATGTGTGATGAATTATCTGCCCTTACTTGAGCTGATATTGTTTTTCGCAGAAAGGAATTGTGTTGCGTCGTGCAATCAGTGCCAATGGCGTGTTACTTTTTATTAGTTTGTGTTATAAGCTTTCGTCAAGGATATGCATTTGGTGCAATATCTGCCTCTACTTGAGCTTATTTTAGTTCTCTCAGATAGGAAACTTGTTGCGTCATGCGATAAGTGCCACAGGCGTGTCACATTTCATTAGTTTGTCTTATAAGCTCTCGCCAAGGATATGCATGTGTGCATTATCTGCCGTTACTTGAGCTGATATCAGTACTCGCATATAGGAAACTCGCAGCGTCATGCGATGAGTGTTGAAGGCGTGTTACATTTCTTTGATTTGTTTTATAAGCTTTACCCATGGATATATTTGTGGAACGAATTATCTGCCCTCTCTTGAGCTGATATTGTTTTTCGCAGAAAATAATTTTGTTGTCGTGCAATCAGTGCCAATGGCGTGTTTCTTTTCATTAATTTGTGTTATAAGCTCTCGCCACGGATATGCATCTGTGCATTATCTGCCTTTACTTGAGCTGATAAAATTACTCGCAGATAGGAAACTTCTTGCGTCATGCGATTTGTGCCAAAAGCGTGTTACATTTCTTTATTTTTTTACAAGCTCTCGCCACAGATTTGCATGTGTGCAATATCTGCCATTATTTGTGCTGATATTATTGCGTGCAGATAGGAAACTCGCTGCATCTTGCAATGAGTGTCAAATGCGTGTGACATTTCTTTGATTTGTTTTATAAGCTCTCGCCAAGGATTTTTCTGCCCTTACTTGAGCTGATATTGTTTTTCGCAGAAAGAAATAGTGTTGCGTCATGCAATCAGTGCCAATGGCGTGTTACTTATCATTAGTTTGTGTTATAAGCTTTCGTCGCGGAGTTGTATTTAGTGCAATATTTGCCTCTACTTGAGCTGATTTGAATACTCGCAGATAGGAAACTGTTGCGTCTTTTGCAATTAGTGCCGAAGGCGAGTAACATTTCATTGCTTAGTTTTATAAGCTCGTGAGCTATGCATATGAGCAGTTTCTACCTGAATTTTTTTTAATTCGCTGTTTGTTAACACTTATTTTTGCAGGGATGTTCAACTCGATCTTTGACGGACGTGTAGTTGCAAAACTGCCCTTCACTCCTATCAGTTGGATTCAGGGCATCTCTCATCGATCTCTACTGGGAAATGACGCAACTGACTGCAGGTGAACGGCTTTAAATTATAAATCAGCTTCTTGTTTTTTAATACGTCATTGAATGTAGGTCCTGTTGTTTTTTAGGAAAAGGTTTTATAAATTGTGCACGCTAAAAATTAGTTTCTAGTGGTTTGAATTTTGATTTTAATTCAAGCTCATATGCTTAGAGGAAGTCAAACTACGCTCTTCTTTTTTGAAAATGCAAAAAACTCAAAAAAACTTGTTTGGATTCAATGTCTTCCTCTATGGATGGATTCAATCGGATTTTGAATTTGTCAGCGGAATAAAGAAATTTATTTTGATCCAACTTTTCAAACTATATAGGTCGCGATGGTTTTTTTTTTTTTTTCATTTTTTTTTACTGAAGTCTTAAAAGTTGTTCAAGCGCAATTGTATTTTTTCGCGGTTTGAGTTTTTGATTTCTTTTCAAGTTTAGTTCATCTCCTTTGTGAAAAGGCATTCAAACGCTGCAATTGACCAGCAAAAGCGTAAAGATCACGAAAAACGTGAACGACTTCTAATTTCGAAAGTGTATATAAATTTCAGATTTCCCAGCGAAATAAGCCTTCACTTATTAATTCAGTTTTCTCAAATTAAGATAAGTTTATCAAAAAAGTGCCAGCTATAAATTGTTCTAGAAGTTTAACGCGCTTTAAGAGCATCTGTTTTTTTCTTTGAAGTTGAAAGTTGAGATTTTGTCCAAAAAAAGTCAGGTTTTTTTTCTGTTTTCTTGTGTTCATTGACGCATTTGAAGCTTCAGGAAAAGTTTTAAAATTTGTTCAGGCTGAATTTTACTTTTTCGCTGCTTGACTTTTGATTGTGAAAAGAAAGGCTAATTCCACTATCGAACAGCAAAAGTGTAAAGGCCCTCGAAAACGTGATTGACTTCTCTTTTTGAAAAGGTTTTTAAATTTCAGATTTTCCAGCGAAATACAAACTTTTCTCATTGATTCAGTTTCCTCAAATTGGGTTAATTTTATCAAAAAAGTGGAAATCATAAACTGTTCTAGAAATTCAAAGAGCTCTAGAAAATTTTGAATAAGTTTTTCAATATTCTTTTACTCTTTGATGAAGCGGTTTCCGCTTATACCTTTGCGATAAGCAAGGGCATTGCAATCGGATACTAGACTTTTTCCACATAAATAACTTTGGGCACAGTATCTCACGGTATGTTCCAATTTAAACATTTTTTTACTATATGTAAAATGTATTTGTAATTTTACCATGTCTGATTTTGATTTTTTTTTCTTTTCATTTTCTCCCCTTGTTTTCTTAACAGGTTTCGACCCAAAGTTTGTCGCATTGTGTTGCCTCTCGGTAGATGGTTTCCAGTTTTCAAGGGTTGTTAATGAACTTCATCCGATAGAAATATGAAGTTTTTGTAGCTGTAATTTTTCAACTTAAGTCAAGAATTTTTTCAAATAATTCTTTGCATTTTGCGAATAATTTTTTCCAACATAATTTTTCAGATTTTTTAATTTGATTTCTGTCTTTCTCATTCACGATTTTTCTAGCAAATTGTGATTTTTTTTGCATTGCAAGTGTTGCGAAGCTCCGCTTGGCCTCTGTGTTAACTATCCCTTCCTCCCATCGACTAGTTGTGGGGGCGTAGCCATGCGCATGTCTAAATGTGTCAATGAATGTGTTGATGATACCTATAAAAGTCATGTTTTGTCAAGTGAAAAATTGAAGTCGGCCGGGATTTGTTCGTTTTATTACATATACCCAGACAAGCCTTGTAGTCATGCGTGATGGATAAGAATTTGTATCTTGACTTCGGAAAAAATTGAAGCACTGAGAAATTGATTTTTCCTTTAATTGATTTTCTAAGCTAAATAGCTTTCTGTGAAGCTATTGTCAGCTTTCTTGACCTTTTTGCTTGAATCCGATTTGCAAAGATTCAAGAGTATGTTCGGCGAAAACAACTTTCTAAATTTTTCAATGCAAAATTTCTCTTGCGATATTCCGACTGTATATTCAATAGTCTTTTTAGGATAAAAAATTCAACGGTCCACGACGCTACTAAAATGAAGACTTTTTGGTGATCGTTTTCTTTTTACTGTTATGAAAGTTTTTCATAATGATACTTTTATATTACAATGAAACTTTTTCCTTATGATACTTTATCAATACAAAAAAGTATCATAAGGAAAAAAAATTTTAAACACTTTTTCATATTTACTTTTTTAATACAGTGGAAATTTTCGGCTCTTTTCCAGTCCCCCCCTCCTTTCAAAATACCGAGTTTTATGTTTGTTTTACGTGTTATTACGGCTAAATGCGTGATTTTACGCTGTAAAGTATGAAGAACAAATCTGTTCAGAACTGTCGATTTGTTCACCACGCCAAATTTCATTGCATTATGACAACGTTAAAGAAACTTTTCAAAATTGAATTTGAAAGGGGGGGGGGGGGACTGGAAAAGAGCCAAATTTTCATATTGGCACTTTTTCTTACTATAATAAAACATTTTCATCTGCTTTCAGTTTCATCTTCCTCTACATTTTGTGTACAATGAGTGTGAGACAGAACATGCAGAAGGCACTGGGACTAGCACCCAGTAGGGCAGTGAGCAAGTTGTCAGGAGGGGGGCCGGGAGGGTTCTTCTCACAGGGCTCAGGGGGCTTCGGAAAGTAGAACAGAGGAGAACCTACTATTAAACTCCGAATCAAATTATCACAACAAATGCAAAGACGAACAGACAGTTGAATCCTGATTCACATGAATACAATTGAAGCAAATTTCTGAAGACTTCAAAGGTCCGCATACGGACTCTTTCGTAGAAGGATCTGCTCTGAAGAAGCTGAAAAGATTAAGAAATATGAGTTACCACATACTACATACCTTTGCCCTAGAATTGGATAGTGCCAATTGTGCAACATAAATGATACAATTTCAGTAGACAATTGTTATGAATCTATTCTTTTTTCAATTAATGTTACTCATATCTATGAATTAAGAGGACATTTAAAATTAGTGTTCCTCAAACTACGACCTTTTTGCAACCCTCAATGGTGAATACTTCCGAAAAGTTAATATTTGCAATTGAACATTTTCATATAACCTTGTAACATCGAATAAAGAACCATTGAATGTATGGAGGAAGTTATCTAAATTGGTAATTTTTGTTAATTATGTTTTTTTCTCATGGCAATTTAAAGACGACAGTTTTCCAACTGAAAAGAAAATATTTAAACAAACCTATCAAAATTCGCCTGGGAGTTGTGCTTCTTTATTTTGAAGGACTGTTTGATCGTTTTTTTTTTCTTGTTTCGAGCCTTCCTCACTTTCAATTCAATAATTTGTATTCCTATTAAATGTCCACATGTTAATTGACTTTCATATGCAGTATCTATATTCTTTTCATTTATCTATCTTTTGAATTATATTTTGCGTTCCCTTCCTTTTATTCCAAATAACCAAGTCGAAATTATTTTGCTAGCGATGCACTTCAATAATTGTAAAATAGTGTGAATTATCAAGTTCGCCTTATTTTTCAGATAATTGTGGGTGGTAGTAATGTTGAAATCTACACTTAGCCGAACCCGAAACTTCGTTCATACAGGATGTGTGAATTATCGTCTCGTTAGCGTGAACAAAAACCGATCTGTTCTTCGTCCTTTTTCAACAGAATCCGAAATCTCCAGTATGAAATCTGAAGCTGAAAAATGTGACATTATTAAAAACAATTTCGATGTTATTGGAAATCTAATGGAAAGCAGTGAAAGGATACGTAAAATTTTAATTAAGTTGACCGAGTTCGATTTGGCAAAAATTTATCTTTCTCAGATGAGAAACGAGTCGTTTAAAAAGAATGAAATTAAGTACATTACGAATGAAGACTTGAAATTGATGAGGGAAAAAGCTCAGAAGCATTATGAAGATGAAGTTATTATACCGCCTCTGCCTATTGCAAAAGGAACGTGAGTTGTTTGTAGTTTTTTTTTACAAGAGCTAAGCTTTCATAAGTGAGTGCGACAAATAATTTGTTAGTCTTAAAGTCTTAAGAAAAAATCTTTAAATCACGATCACATTTGTTTTTTGCGGTTTTTTTTTATTATTGCTAAGTTCACTTAATTTTCTTTGGTAAAAGGCAGGTACACTTGATCATCAAACTGCAAAAGTGTCAAGATTTTTTTTTCCAATATCTTTTATGTTTTCAGATTTATATATTTTTCCTTGTCTTTGAAGATCACAAATTTGTCCTTCATTTGATAAAACGGGCAGTGCTAAGTAACCAAATTGGGTTCGTTAACTGTCCCCTCACTGTTTCTGGTGCTTCATATGTAAATTCCCTTTATATGCAAATTGACCATTAACAGTGAGAAATAAATTCTTTCTTTTTTCTCTTCTCTTTCAAGATCACGAAAAACGTGATCGATTTGTAGTTTCGAAAGTGGATTTTAATTCGCAGATTTCTCAGCGTATTAAAAAGTTTACCTATTGATCCAGTTTTCTCTAATTGGGTTAATGTTATCAAAAAAACGCCAATCATCAAGTGTTCTAGTACAGGTTTTTTTTAAATGTTTCGATTGACTGTGTTCCTTTTTTCGGCCTAATTGGTTTCGTTTTTTATCTGCTACGTGGCCCCGTATGTGCGTGTGTGTTCTGAGGGGAAGGGGGCCTCTTAATTTTTAATTTAATAAGAATTTTTTTCGGCATAAAGAGTTTCTGCTGAGGTATTTTCTGTTTTGTTACTGCTTGGTTATTTTTGATAGATCTAGTTGTATACATAGTTATAAAACATCGGCTTTACTTTTTTGCTGATGATGTTTCGGCTTTCGGTTTAGTTTCCGAATTGTGCATTACACCTTGATTTCAGTACCTATATGGCTTTCGTTGATACTATTTGGTCACTACATGTATTTTGTCCAAATAAGATTTTGCCAAACAATTTTGGTTGATTTTAGCTAATTGGCTGTCGGCTTTAATTCTGTCGGCTTATTTACCTATCATTGTTTCCTTGAAATTTCGGATTTTAGTTATGAGATCGTCAAGACTTTGGCCCTCATCTGCTAAAAATGACGTAAATAGCACTCTCCAAATACGAACGTGGAAATGGCGAAAAAAACGTGAACGATTTCTAGTTTTAAAAGTGGAATTTAATTTTTAGATTCCCAGCGGAATAAAAATTTTACCTGTTGATCCAGTTTTCTCAAGTTGGGTAAATGGTATCAGAAAAGCGCCAATCATAGATCGTTCTATAACTTATTTTTTCCTAGAACTCACTTTTATCTTAGATTTTCACAAATTCATGTGTACGGCATGCTTGCCTGGAATGAAGTTCTATCGAGACATGTGAAAGTTTATTTGACCTAGTTTTTTTTCAACAATGTTCTTTTTTTCGATTTTTGTTTTTTTTTTGTGTTTGTGTTGTATCGCAAGTGGTGCGAAGCTCCGCTTTGCCTCTATCAAAAAGTCAATGATATTTTTTTTTGAAGTGGGAAGATCTTTAACAACCAACATCACTTTTTCTTTGAAGTTTGAAAATTTATGTTTTTCATAAAAACAAAGGCAGTTTTTGTTTCTGTTTCTTTGCTATCATGGAAATTTTCCAACTGTCTCTTGGCTATGTTTTTTTTTCAGCTCAAAGTCATTCCTTAGAACGAAGGCTGAAAATTCTTCAATATCCAGGTTATTGGAAAATGATTTTGCTCGAAAGGGCGAAAAAACGTGACTCATTTATAGTTTCGAAAATGGTTTTGTTTGGTTTTCAGTAATTTTCAGTTTGGTTTATTACAATAGCCAGCTTGCGAGCGTTAGTGTATTAGAACGAAAATCTTTTTGTTTTTAAGCTAAATCGCAAATGAAAGTGTTCATTAAAACCGTTCACTTGGTGGCTCTTTTGCTATTACCACGATCTGTAGGATTGGAAATTTCATTGCATCTGTTCTCTGCTAATTATGTGAAGAGTTTTTGTGATTAATTGAGCGTCAGTGGCTGAGTAGTTAACGTGTGAGACTCAAAGTTTCTAGGTCGCAGATTGAATCCGAATTTTAACTAATTCGAAGCTTATTTCTATTTGTCTCATTGCACTTTATTGAGCTGCTTTTTGTCGTGTTCTCGCTAGTGTTTGCGAAGCACAGCTTCGCCTCTGGAAAAAAATAGCTGTGTCCTTTATTTGTGGACCGGTATTCATGAGCACAAAATAATCTACATCTCTGCTTTCTCATTGAAGTGTACTAGAACTTGCCTGGAATGAAGTTCTATCGAGACATGTGAAAGTTTATTTGACCTAGTTTTTTTTCAACAATGTTCTTTTTTTCGATTTTTGTATTTTTTTTTGTGTTTGTGTTGTATCGCAAGTGGTGCGAAGCTCCGCTTTGCCTCTATCAAAAAGTCAATGATATTTTTTTTTGAAGTGGGAAGATCTTTAACAACCAACATCACTTTTTCTTTGAAGTTTGAAAATTTATGTTTTTCATAAAAACAAAGGCAGTTTTTGTTTCTGTTTCTTTGCTATCATGGAAATTTTCCAACTGTCTCTTGGCTATGTTTTTTTTCAGCTCAAAGTCATTCCTTAGAACGAAGGCTGAAAATTCTTCAATATCCAGGTTATTGGAAAATGATTTTGCTCGAAAGGGCGAAAAAACGTGACTCATTTATAGTTTCGAAAATGGTTTTGTTTGGTTTTCAGTAATTTTCAGTTTGGTTTATTACAATAGCCAGCTTGCGAGCGTTAGTGTATTAGAACGAAAATCTTTTTGTTTTTAAGCTAAATCGCAAATGAAAGTGTTCATTAAAACCGTTCACTTGGTGGCTCTTTTGCTATTACCACGATCTGTAGGATTGGAAATTTCATTGCATCTGTTCTCTGCTAATTATGTGAAGAGTTTTTGTGATTAATTGAGCGTCAGTGGCTGAGTAGTTAACGTGTGAGACTCAAAGTTTCTAGGTCGCAGATTGAATCCGAATTTTAACTAATTCGAAGCTTATTTCTATTTGTCTCATTGCACTTTATTGAGCTGCTTTTTGTCGTGTTCTCGCTAGTGTTTGCGAAGCACAGCTTCGCCTCTGGAAAAAAATAGCTGTGTCCTTTATTTGTGGACCGGTATTCATGAGCACAAAATAATCTACATCTCTGCTTTCTCATTGAAGTGTACTAGAACTTGTAGAAATTCAAAAACTTTAAGTCTACGTTTTTTGTGGAAATGTCAAAAATACTAAATTCGTTGATAATACCTATTACTTAGGATACCAGTGCTTTGATATGATACCAATAAGTCATAAGAGTTTTTCTGGGGAACCTTGAAGACCCGTTTCATTGTTCCTTGTCTTTCTTTCCTTACCAAGAGTCAACGGAAGATAAGTCAATATTTATTGAATTTTGAGATTGTGAATTTTGTTTTAGTGAATCCAAACAAGAGGAGTTCATTTCATCAGACGAAGGTTTAGACGTAATTGACCTCTGCACTTTGACCTTTGTCGACATCTCAAAAACTTCGCTGACTCATCCGACTGGAATGGATGAACTGAAAGAACATTCTAGAAGAGTGTGGGAGAGAAGGTAATGCGAGATCAATGAATTCGGTAATCAATGTTTTGCAGCTTCGAATTTTTGTAAGCGAAATTTGAGCAACCTGATGTTAATTGATGGATAGAGTTTGTTACGATAAGCAGGGCGTTTGTGCGAGCAAAAAATATCCGAAATTTGAAAAAAAAAATCATAATCATGCAATCGTTCTTATGTTAGTTATCATTGAGAAATTGATGTCCTCCTTGAAAATGAAAAATAGTAGATGCTTCTCTAAGAGTTGTGTCTTTTCCTTATGAATTTAGACACAATGGGGAGCTATGGCTGAGTGGGCATGGGAGTGACCATACAAGAGACAGGGCTGTGAAGAGTGTATATAAGAAACTGTATAGGGATCCCGCTGGAGTGGACTTGGAAGTCTTTGAGGAAGAAAAATTTAATCAGTTATTATACGCAGGTTAGTTGGTGTTACCGAAACCCTGAATTGAATGAAATTTTACGTTTTTTTACTCATTTTTACGTTATTTGTTCCACTCTTCAAACATTGATGGCATATTTTGTTTTCCCGTGAGAGGTTTCGATGAACACATGTGAATTATTTACCCCTTATAAATAGATCTATTTTTTTTTTCAGGAGAATTTCTCAGAAGAATTTTCGTCAATATTTTTTTACGTCTGAGTACTTTTTTACGTCTGAGTTTAAAAAAAGCTGGGATCTACTTAACAATTGCCACCCCTCTGGCGTATCTACTAAAGAAAAATTACCCCTATAAATAAATAAAAGATGTAAAGTAGCACTGGAAAGTTCTAATTGTTCCGAATATTGAAAATGGGGAGGAACTTTGTATTCGGGTGTTTTAGTTTTTTTGCTTTTTGTTTTCCGCGGAAAATCAAGTACCACAAATAAAAATTAGACTGCGTTGAGTGATATATCATATTAAAGCCCATTCAGTCGTGATTCGAACGACATTTAAAAAACTCCGAACTTTTTTCTCTGTGTTGAGAAAAACCGGTTTGAATCTTCTGATTTTTGGTCTAATGAGCTAATAAGTTGACTTTGTATGCTTAAAATAGCTTATTAAAAATTAGTTTCAGCCGTGAAAACTTGGTTTTATCCAGATAAAGATAGTTTCTGAAGTTTTTAGCTCATTTTTTTGTTTTTCTAGTTATAATAGGAATTTTGCGGCATTCTGATTGGTCGAAAATTCGACTAGCCTAATCTATTTTAACAATTGCATTTTCAAGAAAGGGGGAGGTAATTGTTAAGTAGATCCAAAAGGCTTAGACATTTCGCATAGTTGGATAAAACGGACCGACTGGTTGTTACGAGCTTGAAGCGTTGTTCCTTTTCATAGTCTCATGATGAATATTTAAATAAATAATAAATAAAATAATCTGTTCAAGTTTTCTAATCACGACCTAACTTTCAGGGGTCAACGAAATCTTTTTGTTGTTTCAGGTAAATTCAATTACCTCCTGACTCTGGCCTATCAGAATCACCTCATTGATGACCCCAAACTCAAAGTCCATTTGACCTCCATCTTCAACTTCATATGCGAACACTCGCTTTACGCTCAACTCAAATCAACCAGGCATTTTTCCGCTATAGTCCTGCGTCTGAAACATAAATCATAAAGATTTCTGAGAGTTTTGTTTGTCTTTGCGCTATGGTATGATCAACATATAAAACAAGTTTGAACTATTTTTTTCTGGGTTTTTAAACTCATTTTTTGCTGGAATAAAAAGCTTTCAATAAAAACTAAATTTATATGATTTCGAAATTACTATGATTTCTTTTCAAGTTCAGTGTATTTCTTTTGTTAAAAGGAAGGCAAGCTCCACTATCGAACAGCAAAATATGTTTCAAATATGTGATGTGGATATAACGGAAAAATGCTATTTACAGATTTTTTCCCGTGTTACTTCTTCACATTTTGTCAGACAGTGATTTGACGAATGGATATTTGCAATTTGTGGTAAACAAAAGAAATGTGAAAGAGATTATTGGCTTGTTTACTTTAAGAAACACATTGGTTCAAGCGATAGATGAAAATAACAATGGTAACGAAATCAATGAAAGTGATTTATTGACGGAATCCAAATTTCATGTTGAGGAAAATGAAACTGAATGTACTGCGCTGAAATTGCTGGAAGATTATTGTGATCAAATAAGTCCTGCGAAAAGTGGCGAGAAATTGAAAAGTGAAGTTCTAAACTGGAGCAATGAAGTTCGAGAAAGAGCAGAGGGTAATTCTCCTTTCTTAGATGCGGCTTGATGAAACTAATTTTTGTTACCATATAGTAAAAAAAAATTTTCGTGCTGTTTTTTTTAAAAGACTTTGTGTTAAGCTCAACGTTTAGGAAGTCATTAGCTCTATTGTTGAGACTATGTCAATTATTGTCAATTATTTTCAGTTAAAGAGAGATTTTATATATTGATTGAGTTGTCAAAGAAACTCTTATTTAAAAGCACCTGTCAGTTTGATTTATTTCAGATACAACATGTGTACAATGTAGATACCCCATGCTTTATAACCCGAACCGGAATTTGTCATAATTATAATCAAGTACTAACTTACAGATACGAATATCTTTAATGGCAACTGCTTCATTCATTAACGAAGGCTACCAACCGGTGGGGGGTGTTTCACCCCGACAACAATCTAACCGAATTTCATCACCCGGACAAAACAGGTACGCATGTTTGAAGATCTGATCCAAAAACATGCATCTAATATAGACTTATTTTCTAAGAGTTGATACAAGCAATCAGAATGTCTACATTAAATGCTTTCGAAATGGGGCTTTTTTAATCATGTCGTTTCCTAATTTTAATTTCAAAGAAATCGAATAAAAAATGGTGAAATCTGGTCCGAGTTAGCTTGAATCCATTTTCTACTAATTTTCAATAAATGATAATTCATCATTTTTTCAATTCTTTCCGGCAACACGCCTAAAAATAGCGGTCTTAAAATAATATCAAAAGTTATTTGTAGCTGATGTTGTTGTTATTTCTCCAGCTAAATTAGTTTTCATAATTTTCATTAGCAGCTCAATTATAGTGATATTTATACCCTTTTTTAAATATTTTTCAGCCGACCCTCAACTGCCCTTGAATCAGAAAGGACTTTTTGTCAACCTTCCAGTTTAAATCTGGATTTGGATAGAGCCCAACAATCATCTTCGTCTTCGAGTTACAATGGTGCTACCAGAGAACAGGTATTTTTTGTTTTTGTTAAATGTGTTTTTGGGCGAGTTTACTGGAGGCGATGTTAGCCGGTGTTCTCGGATCATATACTTAGTTTTTTTGCTCTATAAGGATTTTGTGTGCTTCGTTGATGAACCTGCAAGAGTTTTAAACCAAAGTTGTTGAAATGATTTTGTAATCTCGAAGTTTTGTACAATTCGTTGAGATAGTTACACAAACAAATGCGTGTTATAAAAAAAAAACGGTTTCATTTTTCAATCGAAGTTGCACTTTTTTATATTCATTTTGTGTATAATTCAATTATATCAGTATACTGCTGAAATTATGTTTTGCGAGCTTTTTTTTAGCATGTTTTATTCGCTTTTTTAAAATCGCGTTTGGTGCTCCTGGATGTTTATTAGGAGAAGATGTTAACTTCATAAGACAGCAAGGTTAATATGGCTCAACAGAGTCGTATACGAAAGGACCAAGATTCGAATCCCGAAATCGGTTGTTTTTAGCTTGTCAAAGTTTATTAGATTAGCAAGATTGAGAGGCGGAGACGTAACCACTTCATCACTGCTACCCTTTTATTATCAAGTTTGACAACAATTAAATGTTCTTTGTAAATTATGCACTTTTTCAACTTTTTTTTCTGTACAAATTTGCTCGAAACATTCCTTGCTACCGACTTCACTTGTTTTTATTTCGTATATTTTAATTTCGATAAAATTATTAGGTTGAACTTGAATGATTGATTTGTAGGTCAATAATTCTTTTACAATGCAGTTACTTGTTGCTTTTGAAGCTATTCTTCTCAGAGATCCAAATGGATCTTTTATTAAGTCATCACTTTGATAAGCTCTTTGACGCCAACTGTTTAGTTTTAAAGTACGTGTCTTGACGTACAGCACATGTACATGGTAACCTCAATAAATTACCACCAATAAATCAATTAAGCGTTGGTTGATCGAGGTTTATGAATTCGATAATGGAGAAAAGCTGACTCAGTGTTAAGGTAAGATTAAGTGAAAGAAAAAGTTGTTCTAGCGAAGCTGAAATGAAGTATTTTGATTTGAACAATGTTGTTTTAGCGATAAATTATAGTGTTCTCGTTTTCCCCGCGGAATATTCTATCGAGTTTTGTAATATTTGTCTTCTTTTTTTCGGGTGGCAAAATATCCAGAAGCTACTTTTGAACGAACGTTGTTGTTGAAAGTTGTCGGCTGTTTGCCCTTTCTGCTCAAATGGTCTTCCTGCATTATTTCCAATTCAATCGAAGGAAGTGATTGTTTGAAGACAAGAATTAAATCAATTTAGATAAACTGAACTACTATTTTCGCAGAATTAATCTTCTGATGGTGTTTTACATAAACCATTTGTACGTAACGTATTATAAATTTAGTTTAGATGGTTGGAAATTGTTAACGTCTATTGAATGCCTGAAAAATTAAAGAGATCTTTTGTGCTATTTTTAACTGATCACAATTTCACGTTTTCATCTCTTAAATGGAAATGGAACGCCCCACAAAACCTTTTTACCAATTCAATTCGAAAATTGTTTTCGGTAGGTTGTTTTTCTTCGCGTGACTCGGCAGTTATAATAATAACTGAGTTTATTGGTACATTAATAAAAATCAGCTGACCTGAAAGTTCCTGATTTTTCCTCCTGGTGATTCATAATTTAATTGCATTCCAAAGTGTACTTGCCCTACTAAGTGTCATTGAAATAGTTTTTGGTTATTAATAAATTTGAACGTTAAAATTGCATCTGATTCTATCATATTTGCATTTTTTCTGAAACAACTCATGAAAAATAAATGTACTTTTTTGAAACGACTTACGACAACTCTTTTTTAACGTACAATTTTTTGTTTCTCGAATTTTGTCTTAATCTTCGAAGCCGTCTTAATTTAATTGTTACAGAACAATCCGCGAAGCAGCAACACTTCGACTTCTAAAAACAACGACACAAATCAGAACAAGATAGAAACAGCGAAAGGGATCCTAATGCGATCGGACGATTTCCTAAAAACCTCCACTCTCACGTCACGTGACACTAATAGATTGACCCAATGCGACCCTTCGGCGCCCCAATTGTGGGACTTGGACTCGTTGACCTTGAATGATACGACGCAGGAGCTGTACGGAGAGTTGGTTGTGTTTGGGTTAGTGAGTTTTTTGGATACACTTGACAATCCCCCTTTTGGTATCTGTGAAATATCCTCCACCCCTGCTAATAAAACAGTAACTTAACCTTGGAGCTGGGTACAGAAAATCTAATTTTGGTGCATTTTGATGGGTCGAAAATTTGCTGGCTTAATCTTCCTTCAATCCTCTCTCCCCTTTTTTGAAGGGGAAGAGATTGTTCAGTAGATTTTGTTTTTTTGAGGTGATTTGGTTTATACGATCTAAATCTCATTCGAATAAAAAAAAATTGTATGGGAAGCATAACAAAGAGTAAACTGCGTTGAGCGGAAATGTTCTCATTACCCTTCATTTGGAGAAAATAAAATCTTGTTCACTACAGCTATTTTGGATAGTCTGCGACTGACATTTCTAGTAGTAACAGCGACAAGCTAGTAATTATTATTTGTTTTTAAAGTAACACTACTAATTTTTTTCCGGGTGCAATAATGTTTCTATCTGTGTTAAATATTCTAAATAATTTTTGGTTGAACTGAGTATTCAAACCAAAATATGCATAGGGTTAACGTGTTCACATCTCGAATAGGAGGAAGATAACAAAGGTTTCGATTCCAGTTCTAACAGCCTAAAAGTAGTAATTATTTATCATTGTTTAGTACCACCCCCTCTCGTTTCCCGGGTGGGAACTCAGCGAGGAGGAGATCGAAACTGCAGCTGAGAAGAAGAAGTAGGCCGAATGGAGTGGTTCCTCACAAGGAGTACTACAGCAATGGACAACTTCCTCAACATCACTTCAACCACAAGGTGAACAAGTGAACATTTATATCTGCAAGAAAAAAAAAACATTTTCCCAATTTTTAGAGTTGAACCTTACTTAACTTTTTCCCAGAGTTAAGTTTTCAAGTGCCAATGAGCTTATTAGGATTATGTGTTTTCATACCATATTAATTTATACAGAAGGTAAACAGTTAGACTACAATTTATTGTTGGCAATACGGTTTTTGTAAACTATTAATCCCCTCTATGTTTTTAGCCATTTTTGAGCCACATTTTTGAGCCATAAAAAAGTGCATTGGGATTAATTTTTTGTTGGCACAGTTTTAAAGGTTGCACGAAGAGTTTAATGAGATTTGTGCAAATTGGTGAAAAGGTAGATGTGAAACCTTTAATTTAATGGACAGCGGAACTTCATAATTAACGGATCTTAACTTCATCGTTATTGCAGCTTCCCTGTTTTGCCTGTTTTGGCAGCCTGATATAATTTTTGGGAAACTGTCGGAACTCTTTTTTGACATACGTTCGTACGTACCTTATTTAGAATTTGTTGCATGTTGATTTTTCAATTTGATCAATTTTTTCTTAAACGGCCATTCAAGTTAGTCCTAAGTGATTGAAAATTTAGGACTTTTTAACGCAAGCGAGCGTAGTGTTTTTTTTACTAATCTACTTTTTTTGCGGATTAATTCCGGTTCACTGCTAAGTTTTTTCCAGGCTTATTCTTTTCCTACTGTTTTCTCCCTCTTATAGCTTTTTCTTGGCGTTTTCTTGCTTGTGGTCGCAAAGTGCAGCTTAGCCGCTACTTTATATTTATTTTTAATTACAGGAAAACGGAACTTCATCTTCTTCTGGCTCTAACCACGTGGTGTCCTATTCTCTGAGCAGGACACGTGCCTATGTGGTGGAGTATGCAGACTGTGCAGACAGTGACATGTTCCAAGTGGGCAGATCCACCGAGAGCAACATCGACATGGTACTCATCGACACAGTACCGGGTAAGCAGACAAGTGAATGAGAAATTGGCGAGCAGATAAGATATTAAGCTCGCTTTTCCTTGCTCTTTTCCTTTCTCCGACCACTCCCCGTCCCGCGCACGTAGGAATTTTTACAAATAATTTTGTCTGATATTTACAAAAATAAGAAAAGGAAAAAGAGCTGGAACAATTGCCCGAAATTAATTATTAATAAGACTTGTGCAGTTCAATTTAATTTAGTAAAGAGAGGTAGTTACACTTCAGGTGCTACTAAACTGGAAGAGTGTACAAAACCAGAATCCACCATCTCTCGCTACGCCTGCAGAATAGTGGTGGAAAGGGGTGGTATGAGGAATATGGGCGGAGGAGGGGGAGGGGGAGGGATGATGGTGGCAGCTACAGCTAGTAGACCCAGGATATACGCTGCTGGCTTCGATCACAACAGGAGCATACAATTGGGCGTAAGTTACCAAGAGTTTAAATAAACCAGCCGTAGTATAAACAAACCGAAAATGGGCAAAATTTATTAGCCAAAAGTAAGTTATGTCATATCATTGAAGTTTGCATGACTTTCGGAACTGTAACATTATTGTCACATAATTTTTGTAGCTAGATATAACAGATTTTCATATCATACTTGTACCCACTGATATCCATTTACAAAAACATATTATTTTAATTAAGAATTTATTTGAAGTTCAATTTATTTAAACAACAAAACTTTGCAAAGAAAATATTAAGAATCTTCTCAAAATTTCTCAAATATAAAAAAAAATCATTTTTTTATTATATTTAATTTTTTCATGTTATTACTGCTCCATAGACTGTTCTTTAAATTGAGGCATGATAATTCGTAAATTTCTTTTTTCAAATTGACTGGTAATAAGAAATTCAGTTTTTCCCAGAAGCGTTATCGGTCATATTTTGCTTGTATATGCGAAGTGCAACTTCGCTTCTGTGTAAAATTCATTATAGTGAAAGTTTGTGTTTAAATGAACATCTAAATGCTTGCGGCGAAGACAAAGCCCTCTCTGTTTCAGGAAAAAGCTCTCAAGTGGCAAGTAAAGCAAAACCCAGCCATGATGTCACCCAACAACAACAAAGACAACAACAACAAAAAGGGACAATCAGCCCACACTAACACGTCTTCAATGGACACATCTCAACACGACGGACTGACCACTAATGGAGTGTTAATTTTGAACCCTGATGAAAAAGGGAGCTTCAAGAATTCAGTGTGGCGGGAGGTGTCCATTTGTGGGCATATTTACACAATGCGAGAGAGCAAAAATAAAACTGTTGTGCACAAGGTGAGTAATTTTGGCTGCAATTGCATTGTAAAAAACAAGAAGAGCAGTTTTAAGTTAGTGAATTCTGTAATTTGAAATTTATGCCATGTCACTCAGATTTTCATAAATCAGAATTGTTTGCATACTGAACTGGTCTGCTGATACTGAACCTATCAACCATCATACTGGACTGGGTTAATTTAGGTTCCAGATGAGACGAATGAGTTGAGGGATGGATGTCTGATTGATCTCTGCGGGACTACTTTATTGTGGAGGTCAGCTGATAATGCACACTCACTCACAGACGAACAGGACTTCGTCGAAAAAGTAATAAGGGAAATCTCATTTTCATCTATTGAACGCGGGGAATAGTGAGAGGAAGTGGCGTCTATTTTTTTTAAATCATCTATTATATATTTAAATGCGGGCTTCACTATCTCGCCATGTTTAAGCTTTTTCAACGTATTATTTTTGCATGTTTAAGCTATATCGTATATTGCAATCTATCTATTATATATTTAAATGCGGGCTTCACTATCTCGCCATGTTTAAGCTCTTTCAACGTATTATTTTTGCAAGTTTAAGCTATATCGTATATTGCAATGGTTAAGAATTTTTTTTCGATTTTCCAATTTGATTTTAGTGGTAATTTTACCGAGTTTAAGTTAAGCAGCCCAATATTGAATTAGGAGTTGCGAATTTGGCCTCCAATTTTGAATGCCCGAATCATTTTCGCTAACGAGATCAGACGATTTTTGAGATTTTTTCATAAATTTTCAGAAATTTCAAATAACAAAATAATTTACAAAATTTGAAGTTCCCAACCCTGTATTTGGGTGCTGTCAGAGTACTCTAAGGAGTTACAAATCTTGCCTCCAAATATGACTGTTCAAATCCTTGTAGTTTTTGAGATATGACGTTTTTTGTGATTTACCAGAAAACTTATATTAATTTTTTTTCGCAAAATCTGAATAATTTACAAAACTTGAAGTTTCCAACCATGTAGTTGGGTGCTGTCAGAGTACTCTAAGGAGTTACAAATCTTGCCTCCAAATGTGACTGTTCAAATCCTTGTAGTTTTTGAGATATGACGTTTTTTGTGATTTTTTCAGAAAACTTATTAATTTTGTTTCGCAAAATCTGAAATTACCAACCCTGTAGTTGTCCTGTCAGAGTATTCTCAAAGATTGCAAATCTTGCCTCCAAATATGACTGCTCAATTCTTAGTAGTTTTCGAGATATGATATTTTTTGTGATTTTTTCAAAAATTTTCAGAAAATTTTATTTAATTATTTCTCAAAATTTGAATTTTCCAATCTTGTAGTTGGGTGCTGTCAGAGTACTGTAAGGAGTTACAAATCTTGCCTCCAATTATGACTGTTTAAATCTTTGGTTTTCGAAATATGACGTTTGTTGTGATTTTTCAAAAAAAAATTTCAGAAAAATAATTTTTTTTTCCGTAAAATCTGAAGTTCCCAACCCTTTATTTAGGTCTTGACAGAGTAATCTCAAAGATTGCGAATCTTGCCTCCAAGTATGACTGCTCAATTCTTTTTTTTATAGTTTTCGAGATATGACGTTTTTGTGATTTTTCCAAAAATTTTCTGAAAACTTCAGAAAGTTTAAATTAATTACTTTTTCAAATTTTGAAATTTCCAACGCTATAGTTCGGTGTTGTCAGGGTACTCTAAAGAGTTGCAAATCTTGCCACAAGCGACTGCTAAACGCGACTGCTCTAATGCTTTTAGTTTCCGAGATATGACGTTTTTTGACTTTTTCGAACTTATCTACAAAGAAATTCAAAAAATTTGAAAATACCACCTTGATGAAGATAAAACCTTATTGTCAGCGTACACACAGGCGTCTCAAATCTTGCCTCTTAATATGAATGCTCAAATCTTTTTAGTTTCCGAGATGAGACGTTTTTTTTCAATTTTTTTTTTCGGGAAACTTAGGTTTAAAAAAATTCACAAAATTTTGGGATTCCTAACCCTTTAATAGGGTGCTCTTAGTGGTTGCAAATCTGGCCTCCAAATTTCTCCAGAGGCCTATTAAGTTTTCGAGATGACGCTTTTAAAATTGGAAATAAAAAAATGTAAATGTTCGAAATTACCAACCCTGTAATTGGATGCAGTCAGAGTACACTAAAAGTTTGCAGATGTTGTTTCCAATATATGCGGTTTTTCATGAGCTGTCGTAAAATTTCGAAGCACCGAAGGTGCGTTAAACGCTAGTGTGACATAAAACTTCGTATCTAGTGCAAAACAATCAATAACTGATTACACAATCATTAATTGTGTTATATCATGAGTTAACACTTTTTGCAATAAACATGTCTGTTGATATTCTGCGTCTTGTTTTTTTTCTAATTGGCTTGAGCTATTCACCTGCAATGCAAATTGTTTGTTGGTCAAGTTGTTTTTGTATGATTTTCTGTCTAAATGTGTAATTCTGCATAATACTATATGACGAGAATTGTGTTCCGGATAGTTTAACTTCTGTCCACAATGCAAATTTCGATTTATTTCAACATTCAAAAGTTTTTCATAAATTAAGTTCAAATTTATGGGAGAAACCGCTTGCTTTTTAGGAACAGTAGAAGTTGTAGCTAAATGATTGAGGCTATGATTCTTCATCTCCATTGAACTCTTTTTTTTATGTGAACTCTAATTCTCTTTTTGTCGCTTGTGTTATGCACTGAACGGGAACAAATTAAACGAACCGTTTGTTTGGTGGCGTGTCAAGGAGAACCATTCTCAATCTCAGTTTGCCGAAAATAAGTAGAAATGTTTGGAGCGGATTGGAACTATTTACTATCAACGAGGCGATCGGAGTTCGGTTCAAACCATTTCATTTTTTTAAATTTTTTTAAAGCTACTTGCCGTATCTTCGCTTGTTTTTGCGAAGTACTGCTCCGCCTCTGAGTCTAAATTTGTTAACCAATGAAAGTCTTTAGGATTTATAATTAGCGTACTTTTTCGAAGTAGTCTCAATATTTCGACAAATTTTTCTATTTAGTCCCTTAACAGATTTTAAATTTTTTTCATACTGAGAATGTGGTTGTGAGGGTACGCGCCGTTTGGTTATTACGCTAGCGAGCAGCTTTTGTTTTAGTACGAACCTTCTTCTTTTTCTAACCTAACTCGCAAATAAAAGTGTTCAGATTCGAGTCCGTAACGACTCTGAAGTTTTACTACTTCGAGGCTTGTTTTGACTTTTTCTTATTGCACTTTTTAGAACTCTAGAGCTGCTCTTTGTTTTGTTCTCGAAGGTGTTTGCGAAGCGCAACTTCGTCTGTATAGGGATACAAAGTGCGTTAACCTGAGTTTATGCCATGAAGTCCATGTGTTAATGAACCAATTCAAGATTTTTGTAGGTGGTGTTGTTCTTAAGAGTCGATGAACGTAGTTCAGACTTTTATATAGATCGCGATGAATTTTATATTTTTTTTTGTTCAGGCTCAGTTTTACTTTTTTGTTGTTTGAGTTTTGATTTCTGTTTAAACGCCAGCTCGTTTATTTTATTAGAAGAAAAGGCAAACTCCACTATCGAACAGCGAAAGTGTGAACGTCACGAAAAATAAAAACATAAGATTTTCCAGCGAAATAAAAAAAATTGCCTGTTGATCCAGTTTTCTCAAATTAGGTTAAATTTCATCAAAAAATTGTCAATCATATTTTGTTCTTGAATCTCGATGAGTAATGTTTTTAAGAGTAATGAACATTGTGAAGACACTTGTATAGGTCTTGGTCATTATTGCGTTTTTTTTTTGCGGTTGGCTTTTAAGTTCAGTTCAGTTCCATTGTGAAAAGGAAGGCAAACTCCACCCTCGAACAGTAAGAGTGTAAAGGTCAAGAAAAACGTGATCGTCATCTAGCTTCGAGAGAGGATTTTAATTTTCAGATTTGCCAGCGGAAATAAAAATTTACATACTGATCTAGTTTTCTCAAATTGGGTTGATTTTATCGAACGCCAATTGTTCTTGAAATTTAAAGGGCATACACACACATTACACACACACACACACACATATATATATATATATATATATATATATATATCTTCATAATTCGAAAGTTAAAGCTAGCTTTTTTTATTAATGTCTGGTCGCGTGGCTTAAAATTTAGTTCAAAATGACGAATTGGCGAGTAGCGATTGGTTACACTGTTGCATTCAATAGGGCATGAGTTGTCTAATGCATTTGAATCAGCGTTTGCCGCTAATCGAGATTGTTTTGTCTAGGTATCAAAATTTTAAAAAGGGGGGGTTGAAATTGTTTAGGCATTGAAATTTAATATAATGATAAACGACAATTATCTTTTAACAGGTGCAGCGGGCAATCAACAACAAGCGACCACAGTGTCCGATCAGTTTCAACACTCTCTATCTTCCCAAGAGTAGGAAACTAAACACTCCCTTTATACAGCAGGAAGGACAGGGAATTGATGATCACGCAGGACAGAAGGATCGAAAAACCACGGTCGGTTTTGTAGTTCTTAACAGGCATTGCTGCTGATATAAAAAGAAACACTTAAATAGTTCAAGAATATTTGAGGAAAATAAAATAATCATAATCAACTACAATGACCGAAGTGTAGGTCAGAAGTAAATTGTGAGTGTTATAAATTTAAATTTCAATTTGAATGTATTACGAGTTAATATAACGAAATTGACAATATGTTCATGTTAGATTTGCTTAAATTTGACCTAAAGTTGTCACCAGCAGCATTTGGTTCCTTATCTTTTTCTTTCTTGAATTATAGTAATAAAATATCTGAAATCTACTTCACAACTTAAAATACTCATAATTTTTAAAAATAGGGCTTAAAAATTAGTACTGATTAAATTGAATTGAATTGTATTTCGCACATATTAAAGATCGTTTTGACGCAATTCAGGTACGATTAAAAAATTCAGTAAGTAATTTAAGCTATTAGACTCCCACTGAAATTTTACGCTAGTTTTTTTTAACGTGAAGATGGTTGTAAAGTGATATAAAATGATGTTTTAGGCAGCTAATCGTCGTTCAAGTCGAACACCACTGCCAGATCTCTCAGAACAAAACAACAATGACAATCAAAACAACAACATGAACACATCCACGATATCACGTGACCCTAGCTTCATTGCAAACAGTCGTCCCTATGCGTGCTTCCCCTGTGGCCATGTATACGGGTAAAGATTTTTTTTTCCTTTTCGAGAAGACATTTCGAAGTTAACAGAAGTTTTTCTGAAGTGTTTTTTCGAGTCAATAACTGACGATTCCACATATTAGCAAGACTTGTAGAAGTTTCAATTTGACTATAATTGATGATTTTACTTTTTTACTTGTTTTAATTATACAATAAGTAACTTCGGTTTCAAACTTATGAATTAAGAAAAATGAAAAAGTTAACATTTTTGAAATTTTGTTTCTAGAAACGTACATTCTAATAAGAATTCAAAGTAGTTATCTAATCAGAACTATTTAATACAATCTTAGAACTGTGAAAACTGACTCTAACCAAAAGTTTTTTCTCTAGCTACTTCGATGCTCCCCCACCTATGCGCACACCTGGTGGGGGTACTCCTGAAGTGAGGGAACAATCCACTGAAGGGTACTCTTCAAATTTGCCATCACCATCAGGACCACCCATTCTCGAAGGTAGCATGTGTTTCCCAATTGTTGGTCATTTTTTGAGAGTCAATGAACGGAAGTGAAGGCACATATTTTAGAACTGTTGTTATTGTGACGCTCAATTTTGATTTTTTCTGCGGTTTGATTTTAAGCTCAATTCAAATTTTTTTATTTTGAGAAAGCACAATATGCGTTTCAATCACAAAAGTGCAAATGGCACAAAAAACGTGAATTAGTTTCAATAATTGACTTTAATTCAGAATTCCTGGCCGAATAAAAAAGTCACCTATTAACCCAGTTTTCTCTATTTAGGATAGTCTAATGAAAGAAGTGTCAATCATAAAAGATACTTGAGTATTTACATGATCTGTTTTGTTCGTCTAAACTTAAATTTGAGAATCAATTTAACACTTCAATCGTTTTGCTTGTTTCGTTTATTCAGTTACAACTGCCTGTTGGCTATGCATGTTGGTTAATATTTGTTCTGAGCAGTATTAGACGAGTTGAAAGCAGCTATGGCGTAAGTTATTTTTTTTTGCGCATTTTTAAGTAGTTTTAAGTGGTAAATTTTGAAGGTGAATTTTTCGCGCTTTTTAGGTGCCTTAAAGTGAAAAGATAAATCAGGAAAAATTTTCCCTGTGATCCGGATATTTTTTTTGCTTTCGAGACTCATTTTCTGCGATTGAGTTAATACTCTCTTCCCATGTTTCGCAAAATGTGTTGAATGGTTTCAACTCAACCATTATTGCAGTTTTCTGAAATCTAATTGAACAAGTCAGCTTTGGGCATAATGTTCTATGGTCAATCCTAGTAAAATAAGTACACTAAACAAGTAACATTCGTTTTCAGAAATTTTCCAATTAAATATTCTTTGCGAGATCTTTCAAATGCATAATTCATGCGCATTTTGATTTAGTAAATTCTTATTTATTACGTGCAAAATTAGTGTGGTTGCCTCTAGTTTATTACATTCCAAACTATTAATTGCAAATTTTGAGTTTTTTGCAGTATAAAGCTTCTGGATCTTTGCCTTTTTCTATCTCGCGCGTGTTAATTATTATTAATTTTACGATGAGCAAAGGTATTGCAATCGGGTACTAGATTTATTGCCAACACCCACGTGACACCAACGACACCCCCTACCCTAAACATCCTACAACTGAACTGCAACGGCATTGGGGAGACACCTGAAATTGCAGCATACCTCAATGCACACGATATTAAACTCGCTGCTATACAAGAATCCAACCTAACTGCTAAAAGCAGAGACTCCAACTTTGGTTCGAACACGGTACTTCGTCAGACAGACCAGCCAACAGATGAGGAGGTAGTTTGGCCTTCTTCATCCACGAAGACATTGTGTACACCCCATTGCAACTACCACAAGATGGTACTATGGAGTGAATGGTCATCAAAATAGACCACATTAACACCTCGTTCAGGACCATAAATCACTACATCCCCAAACCAGCTCATGCCCCGAAGGGTAAATCGCATCTTTAGAGCCGCTTCTGAAAACTGACAATACCATAGCAGTAGTAGATGCCAATGCGCACGACCCCCTTTGGCACTCGCCATTAGTAGACACTCGAAGCAACAAGCTAGCAGGGGAAATCGAGTTTTCTGATTATGGAGTTCTCAATGAAAATACTCCCACTAGGCTCCCATCTAACAACCAGCCGACGTCAATGGACATCTCTTTAACGTCATTGTCTCTGCTAACCTCAACAGAATGGAGCACAGACATCCCTCAGCTCTGACCACCTGCCAATCACCATCAAACTGGCAATGAGCTCCTCGACGACACCAGTCAGATCAGTCAAGAAAACTTACTCGAATCTCGCCAACTCGGGCTGGGAAGCTTTCTCAGCCGAAGTGGAAACCCTTGTACACTCCGCCAAGAGACATGGGTTGGGATTGCGTGATCCCCAGATCCCGGATGTATACTCTGGCGATAACCTCCTGAGAGACGCCATCAATACAGCATCAAAGCATCACATCCCCTCAGGCCGCCGCAAGGATGTGATATCCCTACTTCTGGAGCCAGCTTCCAGATGGATCATCGAACGAGACAACATCCTTTCTCATGACCCGACTTCTACGGAGATCGAGACTCTTAACAACCGTATTCAGATGGCCATCCGACAGAACAAAGCAGTCAAATGGAAAGAGTTCGTCAGCAGTTTTGACCACCCTACTGACACAGCAAAACTTTGAAAAACGATAAAAGCACTGGACAACAAGACAAGCAAACAGCGGAAAAACCAGCCTATCAAATTCAAAGGGAAAAAAGGAAGAAGACGTTCATCTTCTTCCTTTTTTTCCTGACGATCAACTTGTCAATTTCAAGAAGTCAAATACCCGCCATCTGGAAGACTTCCACTATTGAAGCCAGGAAAACTCACCAATGAGAGTGCCTCGTACCGGCCGATGTCACTTCTTTGCCCCGCAGTCAAGATACTGGAGAAGTGCCTTCGCCCGATACTCGAGGAACACCTCAAGACGGCAGAACATCAACACGGCTTGAGACCGCGATACTCCACAGTCAAAGCGCTCAGCGAACTATCAACTGCAATCGCAGACGGCGTAAATCAACGAAAACCCGCGGCCCTTACTGTTCTCGTTGCATAAGACTACCCTCCTGAAGCTGATTAACGAGTCCACGCTTCCAGGAGCACTTGCACGCTGGTTAGCCACGTACCTGCACAGTAGACAGGCCCGCACACTGTTCAGGGTCCTGATGTCAAGCAGCCGTATAGTCAGATTTGGAGTTCCACAAGGATCGGTTGTGGCTCCTATGCTGTTCATTTTCTATGTTGCTGATGCTCCATCGCCCCCACCGATAATTTTTTTAGTATCCTATTCCAATGAGTTCACAGTTTTCGCCTTTGGGACCGACATAGAGACACTAAGCAAAGACATCAACAGCTACCTGACGACGAATTGCAATTTTCTAGTTTCTCGAGATTTGGAAGTATCAACACCGAAATGTTCCGTCACGCTCTTCACGCCTAGCACCAAAAAGCACAAAATCACACCAGACGTGAAGATCAACGAAAAAGCTCTCATTCTGGCGAAAACACCGAAAATCCTAGGCGTTACCTTCGACTCAGCCCTGAAATTTGGCCCACACTGCAGACTAGCCGCAGCTAGAAGAAGGAGCAGAGTGAATATGTTGAAAGCGCTGGCAGCAACCACATGGGGACAGAGCAAGGGAACCCTCATAGTAGCCCACCAAGCCTTAATCAAGCCCGTCTTAGAGTACGCATCACCAGTCTGGACTCTTTTTGCTGCACAGAAGCGCTGCAGAAAGTCCAAAACGCAGCCCTTAGAGTGGCCACAGGATGCACCACGATGACCGCCATCCAGCACCTACACGACGAGACGAAAACTCTACCCATCAGACGGCACATCCGTATGAAAGCAGTCCAGCACCAGTTGGCCCATCATCTCGAAAGCACCCTGGCAACAGGCTGCTAGACCTAGCGGAACCGCCCAGAAACATGAAGGAAACGCTCTTTAGTAGGTACGAGAGGTACGGCACTGCACTCCTAGAAACATCTGATTCAGAAGAAGACGACGACGACCATGACATAGGGCCACCAACACACATAACCGAAGAGGACTACAGAGGGATCCTCAAAAAAGTGCATACAGACGAAGTCAAAACGCCCTAGACAACCGAAACAACAACAAAGTGCTCGACGAACTAGGCCCTAAATACAGCAAGCACGATCTACGACTACCGGGTAGTACCAGACGGACCTTTGCCCAGTTGCGGGGCGGTCACTCCCCATTCCTACAAAGTTATCTGCACAGACTAGACGAAACAACCTCAGAAGCATGCCTACAGTGCAACTCAGAAACCCACTCAACGGGTCACCTATTCAGGTGAAACGCAAACCCGACCACACTCACCCCCCAAGCACTCTGGGAAAGCCAGTCGAGGCCGCCGCTTTCGAAGCCACAAACGACGGACACAAGGAGGGCCAAACTACGGGAACCTAGGCAACAACAACAACAACATTCTTATCTTAAAGTTTTTTTTAAATCTCAGGCTCGAAGGTTGGTGATTTTATGTTGTGGTCACCCTGCATTGTTATCTAAAACATCAGAAATCATTTTCAATAGATTCAACTATCCAGATTGTCCTGAAGAAGAGAAAGCTTACAATTTAAAAAAAAAAACAATTGATCCATTTTTTAGAAAGTATAGGGATGGATCTTGACAAACTTTCTAGCGTCATGTCCAACATGTATAATATAATGTTTTTGCTAATCACTAACACGGTTCTAATAAAAAAAGCCAACAAAGCAAGAAATTGGTAAAGATTTAGTGAGTGAAAGCTTTGTAAGATACTAAACCATGCCAACTATGCACACTGCAAACAGAAAAAATACTTCAGAGATCTTTAATACACAATTATTCTGCTCAAAACGAGCAAAAAAATTATACACGACCATAACGAGTTGCGATTACTGAGAAATGTACAAAACTACTTAAAATTTGCAGAACTAATGTTAACTACATTAGATTTTATGCAAGATTGCGCTGAACTCTACCTGAGGTTTTCGTCTACTCAAGCAATCATTTGCTTTTATTCTTAAATGTTAGAGTTTATATCTGCATTTCTGCAAATTTTATCTGTAGCCAGAAAAATATAACAGCTAGATTGTTCAGATTCGAAGCAATTTTTTCTGGTATAAAAAAACCGAGTTCATTGAGTCATTTTTCAGGGAACAAATCTTTCCATATTTTGATTTGTTTATCTTTGCAAAAATTATCTCAGATATGGCATCATCCCAAAATTGTCTATCGGAAATAAAGAAGGCTTTCGATTCAATAAGAAAACCAGAAAGCTCCATGACTACACTTTTAGGACTTATGAAGCTTGTAGAAATCTTGAAGGAATCGAACGAATGTACGAGGAATACCTTTTGCTCAGAAATTGTAAGTTCGAACTTGGCTAAATTGTCAATGCGGTACATATGCGAAGTGAAATCTGAAATGCACAGCAAAGTTATGCT